GGGGGGGGGGGGGAAGGGTTAAATGTCTATTTTTTAAAATAGCCAACGACTATTTTTAAAATCCCAACAAATCTTTTTTTAATTAGCCAAGCAACTATTTTTTTTTAAAAAAAAATATCCGTTGGACCTGTTTGGCCCGCCAAGGGACCGGGAACGGTTCCTAGGCAAGAATCAGTCCACGAGACCGGCCTAAGTCCACCTCTAGCGGTCCTACCGGTCCCGGCCTACTTAGCCCGCGGGACCGGGCCGATCCGGGCTCGGACTGGCCCACTTGCCACCATTAGTTTCAATAAGAAAATTTATACAGTTTCTCACTTCCTCGTAATAACAATTGATAGTAATTGTATATTACTTTTGAGGAGCGGGAGAAATTGTTGGAATTCTACGAAAGAGTCTCGGGAGCCTGGATGCATGCCAGTTTCATACGATAGTATTATAAAACTCAAGGAATATATACTCAACATTTTTGTAATAGAAAAATAGCTCGTTTAAGCAAGACTACCGAATCTATGAAGCATTTGATGTTACCAAGGTCAACCTCACTTTTTGTAAATTAAAAAAAAATAAAAAAAAATAAAGCCCATGAGATGAACTCTGCCTCTGAAATTGATGTTTGTACCATGACATGAGGCTAACATAGAGGAAATTAGTTGCTCTGAAGACGAGGTCAAGTCCTATTTCAGTGGTCTATTCAAGAATCATAAATTTAATAATTTCAGCTCTTACATATATGTATGTGCCTCTTAATCTATTGCCATTTGTAAATCTATCAACAAACCATTCGATCAAACTACACTAATTGGCTTTTAATTTCCAGCCAGAGGAACCCGCAAACCATGCTTTAACTACCGTTGAGTTTAGTTCTTAAATTTTCTCATTTGTAAGAAAAGGCGAAAAAACTCAAACAGACAGACAAAAAGTATAAACAGACAAGCAATAGGAAGATTGCAAGACAGGAATCTACAAGCATTTTTGTACAAAGATACAAATGGCTCAACTTGATCCGTTACAAAAAATTTCACAGACATCCAAAACTCCCAAGTCAAATTCACCAACTTTTGAACAATTCTTACATGGTTATTTAGTTCTCTGAAGAACTTGAGCAAGTTGATATTCCATTTTATTAGTATCTGCATTTCTATATTTATTACTGGCTTTTTAATTAATACTGCATTTGATTAGGAAATGAAAGGAGTTGGTCAACAAATACCTCCCCAACAGCTTATGATCAAGAAGAATATACACCAACTCATGGCAAGAAATCAGTTATCACCAAAGTGAAGGAAAAGGCAAAGAAACTCAAATACAGTTTAAATGGCAAGAAGAAGCTGCATGAAAATGATGTCCACGACGATAACAGTACACCTTCTTGGAGCGTTACTTTGGATGATGAAGATGAAGAAGATGGAGATCCTGAATATCTTGGCGCTCCAAGTAATATGTTTTTTACATTACTCGATCATTATTTCTACGTACCTTTCATATTCAATTAAGAACAATCTAATTGTCGGTACAAGATGGTGAAAGCAGTGCTAGCTAGTACATGTAGCCGCGTAACAAGATGAATTAATAGAGTACGAACCTTAACATGATCATAAAGAAATTTCACACGGTCAATCCTGGATTTTGCCAGAATTAAAATATCCCAAATCCCAGAGGCTCTTCACTGATATCACAACTGCGAATGATCCACCAAGCTGAAAACTCCCATACCACTGCTTATCATCATTACTACAGTGAACGAACGAATTTTAATAGCTTGTCATGAAAATTCTTGTAGTCAACTAATTAATTGAGTAAGCTTATTAGATTCTAATTGCATCTGGCTTCTCCAATATATTTGCTTGAGATGATATATTATACTGCTTGTGTGCTCCTGCTGCTGTCTTTAGTGTATGAATCAGAACTGGCACCTGAAGCTTATAAAGAAGCTGCACGACAACACCCACGAGCAGATCCAGTGGTATCCGAGAAGCATGTTGTTCCCACCAGCATCAAACATGAGGTTATTGAACAAGACAATAAGGAGACAGTACCTGATAGCCCGAGTAAAACCATAACAGAAACTGTAACAGAGAAGTTAGCACCAGCTTATGCTGCAGTATCTGATGCAACCCACGCTATTGCTTCAAAATTTTCAGGCCTCACTCTAACAAATAGCAACGAGCAAGAATCTGGGAACCAGCACGCAGCGCCAAAAACTGGTCATTTTGCTGAGAGTAATGTGAATAAGTTGGGACAAAATGCTAGCGGCATTAGCAGCCCAGGAAAATGGGACAAAGGTGTTTCAGTAAAAGAGTACTTTGTAGAAAAATTTGAGCCTGGTGAAGGCGAGAGATCACTTTCTCAGATCATAACTGAGGCTATGAGCCCTAGGCAAGCAGCTTCTGGTGATAAAGGTAACGTTGAATAGTTTGTTTGTATCTTTTTCTCAAATCAGTATACGGACAACATCTCTTTAAGGAAATTAAATCATCAGGTATAGTGGAGAAGATGAAGGGTGCTGTAACTTCATTTATTCGGACTGATGATTCCCCTAAATCAACAGAAAATAGCATCAAATCATCAGCTCCAAACAATCCCATTTCTACAACTGCAACTTTCTCTCCTAAAAGTCCCAGCTTGTCTTCTAAGAACATCGTTATCTCTACTAATGATAATTTGCCTCAAGATAATCCCATCGCTATGCCTCATAAGAGTCCCAACGAAACTGCAGCATCATTATCCCATATTCCTGAGTTCCACAGTGCAAGCTCATCACCTCTCATTCCTATCTCCACCAGTGTTCACGAAGGTAATTCTTATTCCAAATTTACATAACTAGTAAATACTTATTTGTTTCTCACCAAGGATTCTTTATTGCAGTTGTTGAGGAACAAAGCCATGGAAGAATTCTCCAACCTAATTAACTGAAAATCGAATTACAGATATCTCGAAATAAAGAATCAATCTACTGATTCCATATTTTGTATTAGTGATAACCATAATTAAATAAAGAAAGAGCGTCTGTAGCATTTTGTTTTGATTTTTAGATACACTGCAATATCAGCAAAAAGTTCTTTTTTTAGTATCAACAAATCTTTGTTACACAGCCCAATACAAACTTGTTTGGGACTGAGGCGTAATTATAGTAGTTGTTGTTAACAAAATTTATTTTGAAGAGTTGTATCGAGTCACGAAGAACACTCTATGCGCAGTATATCTGAATAGTCAGGACAAATTGTCTCCTCTAATTCTGTTATGTTGAGCATCCAGGCCATATATCAACTTTTTCTTCCCTAATCAGATTGAGAAATCTAGACAATATACTCTTTGAAATTTCATGTAGTCATATTATACCTGAAGACTGAAGCTAAATAATCAGAAATTAAATATGTAGAACCTTTATTGAGAAATGCAAGAATTAAGCATATCAATCAAACAACTAAGCCTTCTAAATAGTTGGGTCAGTAATATACACTTTCTGTATTCATTGCAGTATTGCGCTGTATTCAGCATGTTGTGTCGGCCATGTTTACTAAGAATATTTATTTGGTCCTAGATCGTACAAAACCGTATTAGAGTTCTTGGGATGAAAAGAAGTAAAGATGGGTCAAATGAATAAATTGCAGTGCCATTGGTTCAATTAAATTATGAAAAAATATAAAGCTACGAGTTTTGTTCTTAATATGAATGATTTATAATGAGAGTAAAAATGTTACAATTGTATTAGTGCCTGATACAGAAAGGCCGGTTTCTTGTCCCATGAGTAGATCAGCAGAATGTTATTTGAAATAAACAGCAAATATATATATATATNAAGAATAATTTAGGTGGATACTTCCAAAACAGAAACAAACATTGTTTAGAAAAAAAAACTTAAATGCACCTGGTGTTTAGGCCAAATTATATTTAGCTTACCGTAGTTAATTTAAGTATAAACTTATAAGATGAAAATGTGTATTGGCAGAGGCAACTCAAGCACTTTAATGGCCTGAAGCCAAAATTTATTTAGAAGCGTTAAATTTAAAAAATAAACAACTTCTTTTCCCATAAAAATTTGAAGAATTATTGTTCTAGCTTTTTAAGATGCAAAACTGTTAATAATTTTTTTTATTATTGATTTCTTCTAATAATTCTTTTTCTAATGATAATATAGTCAACTCATTTAATTTTTCATGAGAACAATTGATCTTAGGTAAGATTTTATCAATTTTAATTTTAAAAAACTTCTTTCCGCTGAGGCAACTGTTAACATTATTTAATAAGCAATATAAGTATTTGAAAGAGAATCAAGTCTTTTTATTTGATTGAATATGTCGATTAGAGTATTATTTTCTACTCGTACTATTTTCGTAAATACTTTATTTTACAAAATAAGTCTAAACCATCAATATCAAAGTAATTATCGTATTTTACTAACCATTAAGGTTAAGATAGTATTTTTTAAGAATTATTGGCATCTAATGATATTATATTTTTACCACTAAAACTTTTGAATTATTGAACTTTTAAACTCTTGGAGAAAGAAATAAAAGACAAAGTATGTAATCTTTTGAGAGAAGGAAAAAGAAAGATTGTGACTACAAAACAAGAAATAAAGTGTAAAAGTTTACAACTATTCATACATCCCATAATAATCATTATGATATTGATAGTTTATTCACAAATGTAAAAAAATTATCTTTTTTTTATATGAAAAAATTAACTTTTCTACTAAAAGTACACAATATATAAAACCTATAAATCTATTATTTATAAAAAGTGGGCCGCCCTAAATTTTGGGGCCTAAAGCAAGTGTCTTATTTGATTCATTATTGAGGTCGCAGTATGTATGAATTACTTATGGTATACAGATAAAATTGTAAATAAAAACATGATTCATGTATTTATTGAGTTGATGTAAACATCAAATGCGAGTAAAATTTACGACAAACCATGACCAGCTAATTATTTGCGCCACCAGCAACTTGGGTCCCTTCTCATTTTGAAACTTCAATTGGTTTCGTTAAAATCTGGCTTCATTTTTAACTTTTCTAGTTAATTATATTTTGTTATGAATTAGGAGCATTTTTTGTCTCTCGTCTTTGTGTATTCACACGGCTTAATTAGGACTTTCTTTTTGTCTCACGTATTAAAGCAAAATTGAGAATAGAAACAACAGACTCAACCTTATGCACATGTGTTTAATCTAAAAATTGGTTTTAGAATAAATAATTAAATTTATATTTTAAGACCACTAACAAACAGATTAATACAAAGTATACGTAATAAATTTGAAGATAAATTTAAAAATAAAAGATTTTTTATTGAGCATAAGCCTTTGGGGCTACAGTAATGAAGTACAATCTCGATAAGAGGAAGAGAATAAGAACTTAATGAATGAATAGTGAATGTTATATGTTCTCACATGATATTTACAAATGAATTGACTAGGCTATTTCTAGCCTAGGAGGGATGCGGTTGTTTCTAGTTCCTAGGAAGCACGTTAGGTATTTTAACCACCAAAAATTTATTAAAGGTCGTGATGACGCCTAACACCGTTGTTGGGCCAGCCAACCTTGACTAATTAATTTAATTACTCTTTTAGTATTTTTGAATCGAAATTTTCTTCAATTAAATAGTAAGAGATAAAATTTACAGAATAAATGAAAATGTTTTCACAACTACAATACTGAACAACCCATAAGTACCCCCAAAACTCGGTGTCACAAGTGCATGAGTATCAACTAGGAAGAAAAATAAAATACAACATCTGTCCGGAATATAAATTAGACAGGAGTATGTAAATAACACTGATTGAGACTTTGCATGTTGCTGATTCGTAACATGGAAGTGCAGCTCACCGTAAGTCCCCGCAATAGATGCGCCCCTGCGCCAAAAGATCACTAAACATATGTGTACCTGCACAAAAATGTGCAGCAAGCGTAGCATGAGTACGTAAACAACGTGTACCTAGTAAGTATCAAGCCTAATCTCGAAGAAGTAGTGACGAGAGATCGACTTTGACACTCACTATGAGTCAATAATATTTCAAATATAAATATTTCAATAAACATGATTTATAAGAACAACAATAAATTTCTTAACAAACAGAAATAATTAAGTCCTTAAATTCCAATAATTTTCAATTTATCAATTAGCTTCACAAGCTGCAATTAAAATATCAAGGTATCGTGTAATTATTATTA